GTCTTGCCATGTTGCCTAGGCTGGTCTTGAACCCCTGGACTCAGGCAATCCTCTTGCCTCTGCCTCCCAAAGTGCTAGGATTACAGGCATGAGCCACTGTGCCTGGTAGAAAAGCCATTTAACCTCTCTGAGGATACATTCATTATGGTCCCCTGAGGGAACAGGCTGTGAATTTAGGGTTAGCAGTCAGATGCAGCCCTCACTGGGTGTTGTGCGGCCAAGTTAAAAAACAAAAAACAAAAACAAAAACCCTTCCCTGTTGGATCTCTCCTGGTAGTTGAGGGTGAGAGACACTGTTACCTAGGCTCCTGGGCAGTGGGTGTAGTAGCACACTGGGAAGAAGAGAGCAAGAGGGGAAATTGCACAAAGGGTCAGGCGCACTGACGGAAGAGCCTTCTGTAAGAGGAAAGGGTGAGGGCTTAGTGAAAGAGGAAAAGGGTTGCATAAACCCAAATTCTCCATGTGTCGCTCCCCTTCTCTCCCTTTCAGTCTCGTTCTTGCGCAGTCTACAGAGGTGCAGAGACCCTACCCTTTTTTGAAAGGATTTCGATCCCCATCGGGCACGCTGTGCTCTGTCCTTGGTCCTGAAATGACACTGCGATCCGCATGGTATTTCTTGGGACCATGAACACTGGTTAGTGACTTTTCTCTCAGTAACTCTGAATCAGGTAAGGATCGTCATTTCAACCTCGAGAAATATCAGTGTTGTTTGCATCGTGCAGCCCTCCTCTTTCTAGGCTGTTGCCTGTACCCACTCTCCAGGAATTTCCTTATGCCTACCCCACCCCACAAGTCAAGCCTACTTAAATGCCCACCAGCCTTGTCCCTACCACACCCAGTGATCATCCACTCCATTTGCTAGCCCTCTAGTCTCACGGCCTATCCCCATCAGGGCACCTAATGTCAGATGGGGGGTTAAATGATCTGCTGCATAAGCCTACCTTGGTTTCCCAACCTAAGTTGTTTCATTCGTGCTTTTTTTTTTTTTTTTTGAGTTGGGGTCTCATTCTGTTGCTCAGGTTGGAGTGCAATGTCACAATCACGGCCACCCCAGCCTCGACTTGCTGGGCTCAGGCAATCTTTCTGCCTCAACGTTCCAAGTTACTGGAACTACAGGCATCCGCTGCCACACTTGGGACAATTTTTTTCTTTTTTAATTGTAGAGATGAGGTCTTGCCAAGTTGCCCAAACGGGTCTTGAACCTCTGGGTTCAGGCAATCCTCTCGCCTCTGCTTCCCAAAGTGCTGAGATTATAGGTGTGAGCCACTGCATCCAGCCTCATTCATGCATTTTTGACAGTTGTATCATTTCTACCAATTGCAAAGCATTCTTTTTGAAAATGGCAAGGAATACACCCCTAACCCACTCCCATCATACTTGTGAGAGCTGCATGAGCTGAAAATGACTCTTCCAAAACTCTCCTAAGCCTGAGGAGCCTGCGACTTCAGCATGACACTGGGCTTTGACAGCTCAGTCTGCTTTGGCATTAGTAGGAAGGGAAAGTGAATCCTCGGGGGAGGAGGTGTCTTCATTCTCCAGGGGAGATCCCAAGAAACAGGCAAAAGAGTGGTAACCAGGCCTCAGTCTGACCCCACTTACTGTACCGTGGGATTGTGTGGAGAAGGGGAGAGAACACATTCTGTCTGGTCCCTGCCTTGCTCTGCACCTCAGTGTCCTCCCCCACTTCCTCCCAGCAGAAAACTTTCTGTTCCCCACCAACTGCTGCAGGATGAGATCATGTCTGGGCTGTTCCGTGAACCAGAATGAAGAAGGATGAAGCAGGAGGTGGAACAGGGCAGCGAGAAGGCCTAGGCAACCCCGGGCTAGCACTCACTTTAGCCTGGGAAAAGGAGAGGTTTCCTTCCCTCTTTTCTGAGCGTTGTGTTCCCTTCCTCTCCCAGAGGGAGGGGGATGGATGAGGGGGAGGGAAAGGGGCATTGAGGGACACTATAGAAGGGAGGGAGCTGTGGGCCTTAGGCACTGGCAATAGGATGCCGCCTCCATCCACAGAAGCAGGGATGGGTTCCGGTCCTGTCACCACTTCCTCCTCTCCCTGTCTCTGCGCCTCACCCCACTAGCCCTGGGAGTGAATCCTGGCTTCACCATTAGTTCACTGCATGACGCTGGACAAGTCACTAAACTTCCCCAAACCTCACTTTCCTCATTTGTAAACCTGACATGCTGAGCCCTAAATGAGGGGCGATGCAGGGAGTCAGTGAGGTGAGGCAGGCAGAGGCCCACGGGAGGCACGCGGAGACCCTGGGCTCGACCGCCCCTGCCGCCTTCACCACGCGGCGCCGCCCCCACCCGGGCCCAAGCCCTCACCGGTTCTCAGCCACTAGGATCTGCTCCAGCAGGCGCGCGGCCTGCACACGGGTCTCCAGCTCCGGCGCCTGCAGCAGCCGCAACAGCAGGTCGAGGCCG